TCAAAGAATATCCCCTTCTTATAAAGAAGGTGACACGGGCACTGCTTCCCTTCACTATTAAATATCTATGTGAAACATTATTCTCTGCTCTGACTCTGATAAAAACAAAGTTTCATTCGCGGCTGCAAGTGGAGAACGATCTCCGACTCGCTTTGGGAAAGATTCCTCCCAGTGCAAAGTGTACCTAACGAACAAGTTATGCTCAGAATAAAACAAGCACTGCAAAAACAGGTCAATTAGTTTTCTTCATGTCATAATTAATATTAAAATACCTCATTCTGGATTTCTGTTGGTCGCGAACTTATTTGGGCGTCGTCACGTGGGTCGCGGTTCAAAGAAGTCTGGGAACCGCTGCCGTAGAGCATGAAAGGGTGGACTGATCCCTGGAAAGCACTAAAATTAGTACATTCAGTACCTTATGTATATTCCTTGACTGTCGTTTTTTACCCAGTACTGGGGTGAAGGTGAACGTTCGAATAAGCGGCTTGACAATGTTGGCCCAAAGTTCAGCCAGTGTTGAACTTCAACATTTATCTGAGTATTGCGATAAGCGACATTGAAATATTGACTTAATGTTAGATGCAACGCCACCATAACGCACACTGGGTAAAAACAGGGCCAAGTCTGACCAAAAGTCTAAAAATCAAATTTGATATTTTGTTGACTTGCTTTTGTAAAGAAATGTCTAGAGACACAGAAACGCAACCATCTTAGCTTTCCTACCCATCTTATATCCTCGCCTTTACAGGTTGATTCTGTTAAGATCCTTCCTCCATGAATGTCATTTTCGACAAAAAATATTCGTTTTTGTTGCAACAGTAAAAGTTGGCTGTGTATGAACTCGTGCAGTAAAGATTTGATGGAGGAGACTCCTACATGTAAGCACTCTTAAATAATACCGGAATTTGATTTTGATTTCAGGGGTTCATTTTCTGGTGAATATTGATTTTCGGATACCAAAACGGAACTCCTTGCGAGCAACATGCAACATATAAAAAGGTATACAAAATGTTCCTTGCAAGTCCCGGCTGAGATTTCAATGTCATCAGTATTGAGACAAAACTGTACGCCATGAAGTTTTTGGCTGTTCTGGCCTGCTCCTTCTCGGAAAACATCCATAGATATTCATGCATACGTCAGAAAGTACCTGCATCTCACTACTTGCCAATGAAAAAGGCATATTTTCATAGCGAAATTTCTTTCTCCTTCAAGATGATAAACTTTTATGCAGATGTAAATGAGTGCATATTTTTCTCTCCATAATTTTATTTCAGATGCTCAAAATTTAAAAAACAGAGAACCTTTTAGTGTTCGTAAGGAAACGAGTCCAAGGTATCACCGTTCTTTGGATGCCTTGAAACAGTTGGAAACATACATTTTGACCTTCATAGGAGTTCAGGAATGACCTCCGGTTGCCGTGCAAAGCTTCCAGAAACCAATTTCGCGATTTTTCAGTGATGCAATGAGGAGATGGGAAGCAAGCTCCAGAATAAAAGAAAGGTTTCTGAAAAACCATTTTTCCTGGCCGGAGAAAGACTTTTCGCTTCAAAAAAAAACATGAGGAAACACACATGAAGAAGCACAGGAAACTAAAAAACAATTATCTGAAATCATTCATTGATCAATAAGAGTATTATCTTCCAAAGAAAGGTTTGTTTGTTTTTTTTGTTTTTTTTTTTTTTTTTTTTTTTTTTTTTTTTTTTTTTTNTCTAAAAAAAGTTTTGTTTGTTTTTTTTTTTTTTTTTTTTTTTTTTTGCAGAACAGGTTATATTTTATAAAGGAAAATTTATCATTTGCCGAAAAAAAGCATACATATTTTTTTAATTTTGAGGAAGCATATTTTCAGTGAGTTTTTTTCCGCAATTTTTGGGATGATGAAAAATGCCAATTTCGTAATTATTATCATTAATTATATTTAATTACTTAATTATGATAATGTATTTACTTCGAAAATTAGAGATTTTTTTTAGTTATATCCAACCAGGTATTACTCTCAGGTCTTCTTCGTCCCTAATTAAGATATCTGAGTTTTGGCCAGAAAAATGAGCCTTTATCCCACTGTGCAACGGTGGGAAGGTTCAAAATTAACGTTCATACAACGCTGATTGAATGTTCTTTTGCTTGCTGGCAATACTGAATGACTTGCTGGGCTACTTTCAAGTGGAACAACCTGTATATGCAAATGTACATATTCTCATAAGAGGCCGAAAAGGCATAAGGGGAAACAAAAAATATACTGACATCCAGAAGAAACGTTACAAAGGAAATTTAGAGCTTGCCCCTTTTTAGGAGTTGTGATAACATTATATCTGTCGTTTACTGAACAAGCCAGCACCGCTTGAACGTTATTGGCGTTGACTCGCCAACCTTTGTGTGGTGTGCACGTGCCACGTCAATAAAATGCATAAGGGTTTCTCCATGCCCTATGTAAAGTTGCCCTATGCAAATGGACAGAATTCATTGTGCAAGTCATTCCGTCTCCGAAAAACATCAGCGATATGCCAAAACTAACGCAGCAACTAAGGTACGGGGCGATGAAAATGCTCCAGGAGGGTGTAACGCAACAGGAAGTCGCGCGGCGACTCAGATGAGCTCGTGTGGCCTAAACCGGATTGAATCAACAGTTCATCAAAACTGGGAGATCACTTAAATTTGAGAATCGTTTCATTTCTCAAGATCAAGTGTTCTGCCAGCTTGTTCCAAGAGGGTCCAAGATGGGTAGGAAAGCTAAGATGGTTGCGTTTCTGTGTCTCTAGACATTTCTTTACAAAAGCAAGTCAACAAAATATCAAATTTGATTTTTAGACTTTTGGTCAGACTTGGCCCTGTTTTTACCCAAGGGGGGGGGGGGGGGGGGGGGGGGGTGGGGGGGGGGGGGGGGAGGGGGGGGGGGGGGGGGAGGCAAAGGGGGCAATCTGCCCCGGGCCCCGCGTATCAAGGGGTCCCAAGGGAGGGGGCGGGCCTCCAAAGGGCCTCAAGAGGGCTCTCAAAGGGTCACGAGTTTAGTTTTGCCCCGGGCCCCTGGAAACTTCTGGGAGGCCCTGGGTGTTATGTATGTTGCGTTACACTCTCTTGGAGCATTTTCGTCACTTCATCCCTTCGATGCTGCGTTAGCCTTGGCATATCTCCGATTTTTTCGGAGACGGTATGACATGCACAATGAAATCAGCCCATTTTTCGTCCATAGAAACCTGATCTTCACGTATGACATGGAGAAGACCTAATTAGGCATTTTCCTGGCGCGGCAAGTGCACAGCACACAAAGGTTAGCGAGCACTCGCTTATAATGCTCAACCAGTGGTGACTTGTTCAGCGAAGGGCAGATATACTGCTATCACAACTCCTACTACGCGAGCGGGCTCTAAATTACCTTGGAACCTTATCCTTTTGGACGCTGGTATATGAAAATAAAGAAAATATTAACAGAAAATACGCGGAACCAAGACAAAACTGACGTGCTAGGGTGGAATAAGCTAAAGCGTTCCCGAGGCAATCGATGTGCATCATGTATACAAGCTCTCCCGTAGCTAATGTTGCACATCAACGAATGCTAAAGACGCTATAGGCGCGGGGGGGGGGGGGGGGGGGGGGGGGCAATTGGGGTAAACTGCCCCGGGCCCCTTGTACCAAGGGGTCCCAAGGGGGGCTTCCAAAAGGCCTCAAAGGGGCCCCCAAGGGGTCTCCGGTTTATTTTTGCCCCGGGCCCCTGGAAACCTCTGGGCGGCCCTGAAGGCCATACATTGTACATAAGAAGCTAAACCATTAAAGAGTGCAAGGTAAGAAATCGGACAAAATGAGGATTAATGGGATTGAAAGGAGTGCGAGAGACGCGTGAAGTATGGGTGCAGTGGTAGTGATGCTCTTAGATGGCATTCATCTTCATATTGGGCATTAATGCAACGCTACTCGAAGGTAGGGCTAATAAAAAAGTAAGAAGCCTGTGTAGATAGGGGAAATTCATTCCCAAACCATTCAGGGTATTCTGTAAAACCCATCTAACAACCCTGGAAGTAGATCACAGAAACGAAGACAGAAGCTAAATAGCAGCACTGTCCTTTCTCAGCGGTGGCATGGCCGCACGCAGTTGCGGGTGTTGTGGTCGGCGTCATGTTTGGAGCTATCAACAGTGAACCGATTATCTATCGTATCGGCTGGTTCTAATTTCGTCTCCATAGGCTATTAATAATTTGATTTATCCAATAGCGTCTTTAGCATTCGTTGATGTGCAACATTAGCTACGGGAGAGCTTGTATACATGATGCACATCGATTGCCTCGGGAACGCTTTAGCTTATTCCACCCTAGCACGTCAGTTTTGGCTTGGAACATGAGTTATTGTAATCAGATAAGGTCTTTCTGGAATTTTATCTCTTTCGTGGTAATTGCAGAGTAGACAGGAAATCCATGTGACGGCATTTGTTAACAAAAGATATGCAGGGTATGGGAAAAAAAAAGACTAACGACTTTCGACCTAAATATCTTCTATCCCAATTGAGTGAATTTTGTGAAACTTTCACATTACATATATGAGTAGGTTTCCAACTGATGCCTCAAATTTCACACAAATTTGTTGTGCCAAAGCAATTCTATCAGCAATTATCTAGAAGAAGTTAAACATTGAGAATGGACAATAGTTCCTGCTGGTAGTGGAGTGGAGGACACACTCAAGCCCCATCCCTAGGAGGCAGCAAAGCAGGAGAGTTGGCACTACCAGAAGGAGCTCTTGTCCATTCTCCATGTCTAACTTCTTTTCAATAATTGCTGATAGAATTGCTTCAGCACCACAAGTTTGGGTGGAATTTGAGGTATCAACCTGAAATATACTGATACATGCAATGTGAAAGTTTCTCAAAAACAACTATTGTGAGGGAAGATATTTGGTTGAGATTCGTTGGTCTTTTTTTTGCCATACCTTGTATATTAATGATGAGATGCATTATAGCTTGGCTCAATAGTTCCATGCAATGCTTTGTCTACTGTGTTAGTCAATGATCCCTTTTCTGTTTTCGTTTCTTGGTGGTATTTTACTTCAGCTAACGTTTGGCATATATCCTCTGGACTGGTTAAACATAAGGCACTTGCAATTTCTGGAGCCACAGACAATTTTTCATATTCCATCTTCAATAGAGTGCAAGATTGTCACCTATTCCAACACATTCTGCAACCCATCAGGTATAGAAATGCAATTAATTTGTCTCTGCAATTCCTTCTCTTTTCCTTCTCTCTGCTGATCATCCTTCCTGAAGGCAATTGTTCTGTTAATAATTTATTTTATATGCTTTAATTCCTTTGATTATCTGTGGTATTGATCCAGTGCTGCAGATAGGCTAGCATATTTGCAGTGATTATGGCTGGATGGACATATTGAATTTGTGCAGGATACATATGGTAGGGCATGACTGAATCTCAGTTCCAGAAAGTTTTCTGAAGCATCAATCGCATCTTAGAGTTTTAAAAAACTATCAGAAATATTGACAGTTTCTCTTGATAATTTTCCAGCTATGATAGTTGACAGTGCAATCAATAGCATTAGCAGTAGCATGGTACAGGAAACTGTTATTGATTATTGATAGCACTAGAGCCCAGTACTTGTTTTAAGATGCTTATTGACAATGTCAGCCTGGAACTCACATCCAAGGTCTCATCATAGGCCTCGCTGCACTGCTATAGTTTTAACTTAGTAACAGCTTCTTGTAGGTCAGTTGCTCCAAGTTCAGAAGGTTGAAAGATGCATCTCCAGACATCATTCCAAGGCCCAGGAAATGTTGGAGGTGCAGGAGGTGGTCCAGGTCCTGTACAGCCTCAGCAGCGATTCCTTGGACCAAGTTCTCCAGCTGGTCCCGGAGGAATACGACCCTATGGGCCCCCTGGTCCCCCTTTGAATGTTAACTCTCCTCAGGCTTCTGCCCCAACTAACCAGTCTGCATTCCCATCCCAGCCGCAACACCCGCAGGTTAGATCTAACCTAAGTTAGGCCAGTAAGCCTAACATTAGGAATCGGTTTTCTATAGTTTACACAGAAGTGAACAATAAATTGAAACCGTTGCAAGTATTTGATGATCTAATCTGCATGATTCAGAATATAAAATCACCCCTTGAATTGAATCCCATAGTGACAGGCTTGTGCCTACTGGGTCTCTAGAACAATTGAGCCACATGGATATCACCATTCTGAGAGGAGTACTTGGAGATAATAGCTTATACTTGTCAAAATTAGGGCTTAATTGGTCTGGTGGACACCTGCTTTGCACCAAATTGGTTATATGGACACTGAGCCAGCTCATAGGCTAGTAGCATTCACATACATGGACACCATGGAATCCCCCCTATTATGAATGGAATGACAATGGTGAGTGTCGCAGTGCTCCTGGAAGGGGTTGGATCAGAGAGCAAAGTCTGATGACATTTGAGGACAGACAGACACCAAGGCAGACAGTTCTATAGCTGAACTGCAAATTTTTGCTGTAGAAACTTGCAAAAAAATGTATATGCTGGAAAATGATTTAAATAAATAAAGTATTTACATTTTGAATGCATGATTCGTAAATTTTTTTAATTCATGATTTTTGTGAATCCTGTGATGTATAGTAATGGTTGACACAAGCCTTACTTGACCAGTTGTTACTTCTCTTAAACAGTAGTCTTGTATATATTTTTGCTTCAGGGGCAGCGCCCAGTGCCTTTGGGATATGTTGGCCCTGCAACAGGAACAATGCAGAGACAGCCTGCATTCCCTGGAGGTGTTCAATTGAGACCTGGAAGCATGACTCCAACTGGTTCCAAGAGACCCTTAGATCCAAGAAGTGGCATGCCATCAAACATACCTGGTCCACAAGTCATGCAGGCTACTAAGGGGTATATTGGTTTCATTACCAGGATTATTACCTGTGTATTCAAGTAATACTGAACTTCCATTTTGTGATATAGATATGCACATTCTGGGAGCAAGAAAAAGAAGAAGCTTGCTGAGAAGATCCTCCCACAGAAGGTTAGAGATCTTGTGCCTGAATCACAAGCATACATGGATCTCCTGGCATTTGAACGCAAGCTTGATGCCACCATTATGCGCAAGCGTCTGGACATTCAGGTATAATGAAACTCCTTGTTTTGATGCATTCATGACTAAAAACTGAAGTTACAATGAGCTCATTCCATGTCAACTCAGCTGCAAGATTTGCTTGATCATATCTGAATTGCTTGAATTTTGATAGAAAGTGAGAAATGGTTGAAAACTTGGATATGTTTCAAATTAAGATAGACATCTATGAGAGAAGGTAATACCCTCACTACTTCTGTTATTTTGTGAACCACCTGGTTTGCTGCTTCACGTAATTATCACAAATTTTATTCCTAGTCAAATTGGGAGGGTGTTCAGTGACTCAGTTTTACTCTCCTTTTAATATTTCCCCCCAAATATGTAAACCTGCTTTAGAGTATAAAATTTTTGCAAGCTCTTATAGTTCAGAAGTTATTTTGAATCATTCTGACCTTGTGACACTTATAGTTTCATTACATGCTATTGTGAAGTAGTATACCAAAATTCATCAATATTGCTGAACTCTGGAGTTGCAGTATCTATGGTGATTGACATTACTGCCCCATTAGTAGAAAGCAGTTGTTCCAATCAGTTACAGTTTCACCTCAACAGGTGGTTTTCTTCTTTGTTTTTTTTTCTCATTTTCTGAAGCAAGCCAACCTCCTATTTGGTTCAGATTAAGTATTGCTTGTTTACACTGACTTGAGATTCTTAAGCTTGATGGGACTATTTCTTCATGTTCCTGGGATTATCCTAAACTGGGAAAATCACAAATTTGAAATATTATTGCAGATCTTTACCGATGCATCTGATCTTAATTATTTCTTTCTTTTTCTCAGTCATAAACCTACTTGACTATAAGGATATGCTCTTGTAGATATTGCTGAATACTATTGCTTTGTAAAATAAGTCCTTTATTGTACTACCTGCCATCACAAATATTCTTTTTATAAACAATGTATAAATATGACGTGAACACATCGGTTGGAAATGCTCCTAATGGTGTAAAATGTTTGCAAAATTAATGTTTTTCATTGGCCTGCAAAGGAATAATTTATTTACCACTGTATAATGGACATGGTGGACATCATTTGACATAGGCCAAAGAAAAGAAAACCACTTTTGAGGTTTCTGCAAGAGCCTATATATTAAAAGCCATTCTGTTAATCAGGATCCAGTTGCAATTCATTTTGTAATCAAATTGATTTTAGAAAGAATTGTAAGAGATCCAGTTTATCATTTATCACATCTATACCTGTACTTATTCAGATGATATTTTTCCTTTGAAAATATTCCTGCAGTTGTGATGGTATTGGTGGTGCATGAAGGTGCCTGACAGCAATATCAAGCCTATAGTTCTCATTCAAAGGTGATAACCAACTTCTTGCTGCCAGACACCTTTATGATTGTGCCAAAAACAAAATCTCTGGGGTCAGGTTTCATGTATGTTGGTCAGTATGTGAATATGGATGTGAAAGAAATTGGCCACAATGCACTCTAATGCCTCTGAAGATGTCAGAATAGAGTTCCTGCATCCTTATGGGCCATCATTATTTCTTGCCCTAATGAGATATACTGTATAGGGTGTCCCAAAATGCATAAAAAAATGGAGTCTCATGCTGCTAAATTTCAACAAAATCAGGCAGAAAATGACTAAAGTGAGATTGAATTGATAAGCACTTGGGGGAAATTACTAACCTTTTGTGATGCTGTTTGTCTACAGGAAGCTCTGAAACGACCTATGAAGCAGAAGAAGAAGCTGAGGATCTTCATCTCCAACACCTTCTATCCTGCAAAAGAGACAGGAGAAGAGGGAGAAATGAGTGTAGCATCATGGGAGTTGCGGGTAGAAGGACGCCTGCTGGAAGACAATAAGAGCGAGCCCTCCAAGGTCATTATCTCACATGTTACTCCTTTCTTCCTTTTTAGTCTAATACCAATGCACTTGATTTTCATTTCTGCTCTTTTTTTCAGGTGAAGAGGAAGTTCTCAAGCTTCTTCAAGAGCTTGGTCATTGAATTAGACAAAGATCTGTATGGGCCAGACAACCATCTGGTGGAATGGCATCGCACATCCACTACTCAGGAGACTGATGGTTTTCAGGTTTGTGATGTTCACTCTTTCTGGCACTAATGGTACAGTTAGATTTGAATCCCATTCCAGAGGATAACATCCTTTTGATAACAGGTGAAACGTCCTGGTGACAAGAATGTCCGTTGTACAATCCTCCTATTGCTGGACTATCAACCTCTTCAATTCAAGCTGGATCCACGATTGGCTCGTCTTCTTGGTGTTCATACCCAAACACGTCCAGTCATCATCAATGCTCTTTGGCAGTATATCAAGACTCATAAACTTCAGGTCTGTCAGTTCTCTCCATTCTCAAATGATCTGCTGTAATTTCCCATTTTGAGATGTTCATTTTCTCTTGTGCAGGATGCTCATGAACGAGAGTATGTCAACTGCGATAAGTTTCTGGAGCAAATCTTTGGGACTCCTAGGATGAAATTTGCTGAAATTCCTCAGCGTCTGAGTCCCCTTCTTCATGCACCTGATCCCATCATCATCAATCATCTCATTTGGTGAGAGATCTAGTAGAACATGATCAATTTAAAAATTTTCTGAAAGTTGTGTTTATACATTTAAAACTCATTCACAGTGTGGAAGGCCAGGAGCCAAAAAAGACAGCTTGCTATGACATTGATGTTGAGGTGGATGACACCCTTAAGACCCAGATGAACAACTTTCTGCTGTCTACTGCCAGTCAGCAAGAGATTCAGGTTAACAGAGATAAGAATTAATGAGGTCACTGGTGGGTCTTATGTTGCACTGCTCTTGATCACTTTGAGAATTTTCTCTCTAGAATCTGGAGAACAAGATCCATGAAACAGTGGAGACTATCAACCAATTGAAGACAGATCGGGAATTTTTCCTGAGCTTTGCTCGTAACCCACAGTACTTTATCACCAAGTGGCTCATATCACAACATCGAGATCTGAAGGTAGGCTTTGTATCACAAAATTACAGTTGAATATTGTATGCTTGTATGGAAAGCACTCAAGGGAAAAGCTCAAAGTACCTCATGGTACCCCATGGTTTTATATGGCCTACTTAAGAGCGATCATGATAACATATTTTGTTCCATCCATTCTTCATTCCAGGTGATGACTGATGTAGTTGGAAACCCTGAGGAAGAGCGGTATGCAGAATTTTACTTGCAGCCCTGGGCACAGGAAGCTGTTTGTCGATATTTCTACTCCAAAGTCCAGCAGAAACGACTTGAACTGGAACAAGCACTTGGGCTCAGATCTTCATCCTAAAATTTACATCTGTATCATGTGTCTTTGCTTGTTGTTTGAATAAAAACAAACGTCTGCTCCAATACAAAAGACTTTTAATGGAATGTCAATAAATGTTGAACTCTCAAAACTGTCTTGTACTGTCAGGTTTAAAACTGAGAAAAGAAAGATACAGCACACTGTTGAAACATCGTTAGTTGAGGGTGAGCCTTACATATGAGTGATTTTTTTCTGAACAATTTATATACTCTTTTATAATTGGGTAAGTGTGGATAATCAAAAGTAAGTACAGTCAACCCTCGATATACCGCCACTCTCGCTTAGCGCCAACTCTTTTCTGAGAACGAATCTTCCCCATAGGCTTATCATTGGCGCTCCCCGTTATAGCGCCACCCTCGCAAGCCGCCATCCGCCAATACCTTGCCTTGCACAAACGTGCCTTATTCAACGTAAGTTGTACTCGGTATAGCGCCAAGCAGCATATCGTACTAGCTACAATGATCATACCATGCACTACCGTGGTGGAAAAAAATGACATGCTGTCAGCCTTTCCTTTTGATCGTTTGATAACGAGATACCTAATCCTGCCTCTCCTTTTTTTTCTTTTGGAGAATGGAAACACCTCTTTCAGTTCAAAGTTTCTTCAGACGATTGTTCAAATTTGTTCATTACCGCTAATGGGGAAAAGGACAGTTATAAGTGTGAGGGAAAAAGTGGAAGTGTGTCGTTACAAGGAGGCGTATGCTGCCGAAAGTCAGCAAAACATTGCGAACCATTTTTCAAATCTGTGATGTTTTTGTTCTCCATTGGCAGCATGGATGAATAAAAGTGGATTATTTTTGCTAATTCTGTTTTCCATATGAGTTATTTCGGAAATTTTTCGTTTTAAAGCCGCACTTTTCGATATAGCGCCAAAATCGGCGAAGACCAACAGTGGTGGTATATCGAGAGTTGACTAAAAAAAAAAGCTTGCAAAAAATTGTTAATCTGAAAAAGAGGACAGGAGTGAAACTAAATGTGTTGGGTTGTAATTCTTTGTATTTTGAAGTCCTATCTTGAGTGTAATGTTTTTCTTCTGATGCAGACCTTTTTCATCATAGTCTTCCAAGTATATTTTGTTCATGGACTTAGTCAACAATCATGGGAACTTGGGTGGCATTATAAATTGGTGTTGACTCTTTTAACCCCTTAACTGGGTTAGATGCCTTTTGATGTCTGACCTCCCATAAGTTAAAATTAGGGCTGTCAATAGATTACAAAATTTAATCGATTAATCGAATTTCAATAGATCCTATGGTTCCTCCTTGAATCATGTTCTAGGCGTTGGGAATGATTATTCATGTGTCTTGCCCAATACCTAGGCGAGCCTCAGGAAGTGACTCAAGGGGATACAGTCGCTAACATTGCAGTTACTATCCATATATACACTAGTTCATCCTACAAGTGACACATTCCAGTCGGAAAAGAAAATAGTTACAACTTAGCCAGGTAGGTAATGAAACGTAAGCAAAGAAGCGCACTGAGGCCCTTTGCCATTTAGCCAATCCATAACGGAAGGAGGCAAAAATGTAATCTAAATGAATGAACGTATACAGTGACACTTCATTGCGCGAAGATTTAAAGATTCATTAGCGATTTACGGGCAACACGGGATGGAAAGGGAATCAAGGAATAGGGGAGGGTTTCACACTTTAGTTTCCACTTCTCTCTGTTTACTTTCCGGGGACTCCCACAGACGTTCGCCGGTGCACTTACACGTACGCCTCTCACTCCCCAGTCTTTACATTATCCTCTTTCTTATATTTTGTTGGCGTTTGGAGTTTTTGGCGCTACGTGGTTTGATGCTACGAGATTCGATGCTATGCCACAGCCCCCGCAATGCCAGGAGCCGTTTGTGCCACGTCTGCCATCCAAATTTTCGTTCTGAATTTATAACATTAACATATAACAATGATCAATGGGCGGTGAGTGGTAAAGGTATCGTAACGCATAGCTATTTACAGAAATTGCCTTTACCCTGTACAGAGTGTACGCCGATTGTTCGTGCTTAATGGACGTTCTGGTCCGTCTCTCTGGAATCGATAATTCACTTTCCTTCATCTGGATTATAGAGCAAATAATGATTACTTCTCTATTCGCTTCGCCGGTCCCTCACCCAAATTATATCAATACTTAAGGTAAGATAATAAGAAGCTTTATAAAATCACTCAATACACCAGTAACGCACATTATTGGCATCATCATGGACCCTTATTGATGTATTGGCAAAAGTCAGTAAATTAGTTTACAGGGTTCACACTAACTTTTTTAAACCTTGAGTCCTGGCGCCTAGCTTCAACTCACTGGGTTCTTTAACTTAATATCCCTTGATCCCCCCCTATCAATGAAAGAAGTGTATGTGGTGGAGGTCATGTACAATACTGCAAGTTTTATTCAAGGAAATTTTCTCCCAAAGGATTTTTAAATTTTAGGGAAAATTATGCTTCTCCCTTTTTTAAATGGAAACTTTGCACAGAGAAATTAAACCTAAAGTTTGACATAGGCATACTGTAGTATTTCCTGTAGAAGCTTGTGTATTAAAATCTTCATTCTCAGGTTGCTCCTGCAGTATCTATGCTGGAACCCAGTAAACTTTGCAAGGAAGACATGCCATTGGATGAATGCAATGTGTGCAAGAAAGCAGAAGGCCGCTACAAATGCCCTGCTTGTTTGATCCATTCCTGTTCCCTGGACTGTGTCAGGGAGCACAAAATACAAACAGGATGCACTGGCATAAGGGATAAAACAAAATTTGTCCGTCTATCCAAATTTGATGATTCACAACTTTTCAGTGGTATGTTGTATATTATGCATGATTTGTTTCAAGGCCTGCAAGAATTTTACAATATATTCATATCACCTTTAATATTATTTTTGTAAATCCTATGGTCTATACTTCGAAACTTGTGACAATAGAATTTTCATTACTTGTTGATGGTTATACAAATATGTTAGAATTGTTATTGGATGAATATATTGTCTTCTTAGCAATTGAGCTGATTTAGCCAATAAGAAACCCCAGGAAATGTTCTAT